CTTGGGTACTTCTCCACGAATCTGTCGCAGACGCAATCTAACTATCTAAGTTATTGAGTTAGGTAGTACATAGATAATCTTTACTGAAAAAACGACACATAAATGTCAAAAAATCAAATTTCGAAAATTCTTCCACAACGTTTCACCTAACCTAATACATTAAGATTTAATCGACTTTTTCATGAGCTGCTGCTAAAATCTTTTACTCTTTTTATTGTTAACATAAAATTATGTAAAGATTACGCTTGTTCCTACGACATTCTGACGAAGTGTCTTCCGCAGTTCATGCTCAAGACCTTAAAACATCAAACCCTCCTCTGAGTAATATTGAGTTCTGCTGTTAATCTCACAATGGTGAGAGTTTCATTATGGCATGGATGTGTTTCTGTGCGTAGAAACATCATAAAGAAGCACTCATCTACCAGCAAGGCCACTCAGTAAAAGAAAGAGTTCTTCTATTAAGCAGTTCACGAAGTGGAGAAGATGAACATTTTAGTTCACACCCGATACAAAGAGTACACTCTTACTAAGGGTTGACGGAAACCAACTCACGGGTATGCAAACCTCTCCTGGAATTGTACGTGCTGATATCTCACGTGGTGCTACTGTGGGAATATTGTAGCAATACTAATTCAGAATTTCAAATAAGTTCATATTTTTCCTTGGTGTATATTTTTTCATATAGTAACTGAGCAACGGTGAAACATTCCTACGCCAGTATCCGATCGGAGATTGATACGAAGTAGCTCCATGCGCCCATATGATTTATTTTCAAATCTATTATCCGACATATTTTGTGTCGATTTTTGAAAATCAATAATGATTGACATTGAAACAATGTTGCTGTAATAGTTTTTCTATATTTTCGTCCACTAACTGATCACTAATTAGTATTAACGAAACAGATTTGAAGAATGCTATCTGTCAGCCAGTCTTTCTATCTGTTCAGTCAGTTATTCATTCTCAAATGACAGAGCTTTGAAACTAATTATAAACCTTAGATGCACAACATCTTGTAGAAGCGTGAAAAAATGTTGTTAAACAGTTTAAATGTGGAATAGACATCCATGTTGTATGTCTATTGACTGAGTTTCGGGCAGAGATATTGATAAACTTGCTGCTCAATCACTAAAACGCTTGAGTGCTATTGTAAACTCTCAACAAAGAATCAAAATGCGCAGGAGTTGTTCATATTCTTTCTTTCTATCGGCACTTTCCATTTCTGACAAAAAGTTATGTTAGCTCTTCTTTCCTGAATGTTCTGTTAGAAGTAACCGAGTGCAGAAGGAACGCGAGGTTTGCTTGCTTACTCCGTCCCAATGTGGCAACAATTCCTCATTACTGGTTTATTACGATGTTTCCTTGCTTAATACCAACAACTAGTACTAATCTCTTTAATTATCAGGTGCACAAATATAACCTCTCCTTTCTGTTTTGCTGTAATAGCAGTAAAATTAAGATATGCAGATCTTTTTTATTTAATTCAACGTACGCTAAAATTGCGATATATTCATATGTTTTTATATAAAATATTTTATAATGTCTTTCGTTTCGAATGTTTTCTTAAGACCTTAGCTCAAATTTCAATATGCCAAACAATCATTTTTGAGCCTTGCATGTCATGTGGTCTGTTGAAATGGGCTGACTTATGAAGCCCGATGCACGTGTTTCGACCTTGCGGTCTCGTCACTCGGGCAGTTACCCTTTCTCGTCTTTTGCCAATCCTGTGTGGGTGCACTCTAAACGAAAGATATGATACATTAAATATACTGGCCAAGAGCATTCAAGTGTGCAACACTGTGTGCTCTTGGCCAGTATGATGATGATTTCACTGGACATAGAGTATAAATTGTTCGTCGACGCGAACCCTTAGTGTGGGGACTGGAGCACCCACAGAGGATTGGCAAAAGACTAGAAAGGGTAACTGCCCGAGTGACGAGACCGCAAGGTCGAAACACGTGCATCGGGCTTCATAAGTCAGCCCATTCCAACAAACCACATGATATGTGCGGCTGAAAAATTATTGTTTGGCATACTTTATGATGGTTTTTATAGAATTTTGACGATGACGACTTCTGCACCCGAAAAGCGGCATTGGCGGAAACTTTACTTTGCAGACATTAACCAAAGCAATTGAAATTGCTTAATTTTGGTATCGTTCAGTTGCACATTTCCTTGTGGGCATTTTGGTGCAGTTGTATAACTTCTCTGTAATTGCTTCAATATGGAGATGTCGTGAGAGCAAATTCGCTTACTACTCATGTACGAATGGCGCGTAGGGGAACGTTGCTAGTAGGAAGCGGGGCACAAGATTAATGGAGTTTTGAAAGAGCTGCGTTTTGGAGTAAGTATACGCAAGTTATACACCAAAATGTTTGCAAGAAAATACGGAATTGAATGATGCCAAGGTCATGCAGCCCCATTGCAAATACTATGGTGAAAAACCCAAAAAGGCCACAGACTTTGCATTTTTGCTGCATGGTAACGCTCGGCTTCATGTTACAAAACAGATCGAAAACGTCATAAAAGGGCTGAGGTACTAGGTTTCAGGAAACTTAACCTTTTGCCCGCTCTATTCTTCTGACATTGTTTTGTTACATTTCTACTTGGAATCACCAAGTTCAAAGTGGAAATTAACGAATTTGGAAAAATTGGTGTTATCGGGTATAGAAGTCGTCGGTTCAAAGTACTATAAAGACCATCATATGAAATATTTTGGTATAAAGTATTTAAAAATAAACGGCGTTTTTAACGAATTCAAACAAAAAAAAATTTCTATGCATTCGTTGTTATTATTGTTACAGTAAAACGAAAATACGGCAGGGTCATATTTGTGCACCTCATATCTTCAACACAAGGGAAGTTGAGCGCGTGGAAATTGGCACGTAGTGTAGAGGTACCTAATGAGTGATTTACAGGTGATTATTGAATCTAACTCTCTCCTTGGACTCTGAAGGGCTCCGTTCCTTCGGATATGCCAAAACGGTATCATACTTATGCGGTAGATAAAGACGCGCTCACCGAGTTGATAAACTTGTAGGCTTCTTCTAGTCATTGTATAGCACATCTTCACATAGACCGCATATTCATTTCATCATCTCTTACAATCTTTGCTAAAGTCGAATAATTGATGCATTCCTGGCTTATACATAACCGCATACAAATAGCTCATAATTTGATCATCACCTAACCTAATTTTATTAACCAGTTTATGTTGCATGGATTGAGACCGTGGAAGCCGTATCCGATACTTTGCCCTTTCATATCTTGGAATCATAAATTTTTTCTGAACTGTTTTTTTTTGTACAACTTTATTAGATGAGTACAGATGAACAACACACCCTCATACGTAGTGATTCATTTCGCTTCCTGATGACAATCATTTATAGACATAGGAGAATTGAGTGGACAGCGAAATTGCTACCTTAGTCGGGAGTTTGACCCGTGTTTTACCCATGCGGGAGCGCATGCATGGGTGGAACGCGAGTTCAACTCTTGACTGAGGTCGCATTTTCGCTTACCATTCAGTTTTCTTAGGTCGATATCCGGAACATCACATTACTGCGAAAAATATATGTTTAATGGATCAAAACTGAAAGAGCAGCTACGGGTTAGCTTGTCATATACTAAAAAAAGTAATAAAAAACAAAGAAATTTCAAGAATTTGTCACAGAGTTGTTCTGCTACGTCTACGATCGTGCGTGTCGCCTGCTGATCGGCAAGTCGTTTCACTTATTAGTGCAGCTGCTTGGCGTAAGTCAACACAGAAATAGTCACAACTTTTGCACTAACCAATATATCATTTTGTTAGGGACTCACTTACCCATTTTTAGGAACTCTACTTGGATACTTAATTTTCGAGGTGTTTGATTCTTTAGATGTATTTCGAAGTGCACTGTTCAATCACTCCAAGAACAGTGCACAAATTGTCGAAGTGATTGAGTAGATTTCCAAGCCTCAGTAACATAGGCAAACGATGAAAAGAAGGTAGCTGTTCCGAAGAGTTCGCTGTGATATGCTGTATTTTTTACTTTATCGACAATTGCACTGTAAGAGCCGAACGCAACATCACTGAATGGTTCGTAATATTAGCACATAGAGGTGTGTAGCTTGCTGTGCATGCATAGAGGAAAAGTGGACAACGTGCATTGTGTGGAGTATATTAATTTTTCAGTAATCAGCCTTGTTACATCTATCCGGAGTTGCTGCTTCCGCTCTAAAGCAATAGTTTGTGCAATCTCCAAGTTAGCTGCAATTACAATTTATTATTAAGATATTCTTAACAATTACATATACTTTGATCAAGCGAAAGCACGAAGCTGATAAAATTAATAATAGCTCCTTTCGTTTCGAGTGTTCTGATAATATTGCGCTCAAAATTTAACATATCTCGTCATCATTATCTCAGCCAACATGCCATGTGGTCTATTGAATGGGCTGACTTATAGAGCGCGATACACATTAACCTTGACGATCTTATCAGTCGGGCAGTACCCTTCGTCTTTATCCAATCCTCTCAGCGCGTTCAGTCCCTCTATTGAGAGTAGGCGATTTTGACTGACATACAGTGTAAAATGTTCGTCGTCGCCTACTCTTAGTATAGGGGACTGAGCTCACCGAGACGGCTGGTTAAAGACGAAGGTACTGCTCGACTGATGAGACCGTGAAGGATGAAACACGTGTAGTGCGTTACTGACGTCAGCAGGTGAGTTTCATGGCAAATAAACGATAACAGACGTCAGAAGATACATGCGACATAAGACAATCCATCTAAGGGGATACTGTGTTAAAGCCAGGTGGTGATGTTCTGCCATTGAATTGCTCAAAAAGTTATTCAGAAGCACTTTTTGTTAACCTAGGCGTTATTTATTGAGTTCCTTCAAAAACTCATCACTTTTTCGACGATTCATTAGTGATATTAGCGGAGGCTCAATTAGGCGACATATCGTTGACACTAGTCAACATTCAAGCTAATGATGTTAAGCGATGTGCAAAGCTTTTGCGTCAAGCGGGACTTGAACCCGCACTTCACCCTATCAGAGGGAGCGTACTTTGGCCCGTGCACTACCGACGCTTGTTTTGCCGCCACTTCAACATCACTGAGTATACTTGTATTATAATATCGCCGCGAAAACCCTTGAATAATAAAGAATTATTGCCTATGACACAATCAGTAATTTTCCGCGAAAAAGTTCATTTTCGACAGTTAGGCCATACTATCTTCACTATGACAATACTTTTAATAACAGCTTGAATACTAATCGATTACTTGAAGACCAAATAGTAATGTGCACATGAAGGTCGCTTCAAGATTGAGTCTAGAGGAAATGATAAATGAATGGGCATCAAATGTGTAATCAAACAAAACAAAGGGCGATTTAGTCATACAACTATAAATTATCAAAGTGGATATTGCTAAATCGAGGTCGCTCTGAAGAGCACAAGAATTTACACTCTCTCGTTTGAAGGTGTTTCCTTTTCAGTTAGATTTTTGCTTGAACACACATTTATGTATGAAGAAGAGTGTTCATCGTTATCAAATGCACTGTCAACTCTACAGTGCTATGAGCATCTTCTGCCACGTATGTGAGAGGATTACTGGACTGAGGAAAAAGTTCCTTAGCATCCGCAAAAAATTCAAACTTTATGTTCGTTTCACACAGCATTGTTTATTGTTTAACGGCTATTGTAAACTTATATGAATTACTCAAAAATTTTATAACATGATACTCCCACGGCAACGTTAGTTATAAAGTATCCGACACTGATCTGTCAAAGATGTTCGCTGTTTCAGTAAGCCAATGTCAAGCCTCACATCGCGAAGAAGACTTAGGAAAAATTTGATGAATTGAGGGACCGACGTCTTGCTGCGCCCAACTCAGAGCCTAGTTGCTGCGTTGTCCGAACAAGGTTCAGTCCCGCTCAATCAAACATTTTCTGCGGGGACGCCGAGTTGAGACATTTGATCAAGTTGAAGAGGCATGTTAGCAGTTTCTCGATCCAGAACCCAAGGAAGGGCGATTTCGAGCACTTTCGAAGGCTTGTATATCGTTGGCAGATGATTGCGGATAATAATGGTTTTTATTTTATAAAATCATGATTGTGGTTCTTCCTGATTATAAGGGAACAAATGAAGAACCAATCTCATGCGCCGGAGAGGAATTTTTCATAGAGTGTTGGTAACCATTCGAAAGCCGAGACTTCAGGTTACAGCCTTATTCGCCAGTTTTTCACAATACCCATTTATAACGCTGCAATGTTCAAAATATAATCTTGTTTCATAAAACCACGTGTATTTTTTTCTCTTATCTCGTTATATTTCTCTGAACACAACTCTTTCCTTAGAGTGCTAGTACACAAATTATAGCACAAGCTTCAAAAAATTCAAAAATGTGTTTGCTTTTTTATAAGCTCTTTAATCATTCAATCTCCTCTGTTCTTTTGATTTGCGCTTTAAATTTAGCCGATCAGAACTCTTTCGTTAGGTTATTAGTTATCATCTGATGGCGTAATGTTATATGATTCTAGCCATAGCTTATTTTCTGAAAATACGGTATAGCAGGAAAAACGAGATCGAGCTCCACATTTTGACAAGTCGTTTACTGGCTATTCGACAAGCAGAAGGCCGAGGAAGGGGGCGGGGCACGAGGCGGAATGAGGCGGGACGACGGTGTATTGTTATTCAATTAGGAATTTTTCATCCGCTTTGTAGGAAACACCCGATGAGACGATTTACTAAGATGTTACAAAAATTGCTCTACACACTGATATGTCTCTCGGCTTACAGCGAATTATACGCGTGATAAAAATGAAGGCAAAGAGGGAGTATGGAATATAATTTTTGATCTGAATACGACAGCGTCTGAAAAGGGTGTTTTGAAGAACCGACAACTTTAGGCTATAGCTCCAAATTGCAGCTTTCGAATCGTCACAAACGTTCCTATGAAAAGCTCCTCTCCAGCGAACGAGATCGATTTTTCATTTGTTCCCCTATAATCAGAAAGAACCACGATTGTTGTTTTTAATTGAATTTATGTACAAACTTTGGATATCCGCTGGTTTCAAAGAACCTTTTCCTCAATCCAATAACAAGGAGCTTTAACCTACATCAGTAAAAAGAGGCGCTACATCATGCACAAATAGATAGAAAATGAGTCCTTGAAGCTTCGCTTAACTGATTAAAGACTTTTGCACATACTTTATTCGTTAGGACTCGATTACGCAAAATTCCAAGTTCACAGTATTGGCAAAATAAATCACCAAACCTCGTACTTCACTGTCTTAAGCAGAACCTGATAGAAGACCATACCTGAAACTGAGCAATTGAGGAGTCTGCTAGACATCGGAAGCAATTGAAGATGACTGTTGGAATTATCTAATCGACAATTAGCGAGAGAACTCGTGATGAAGACAAGCCAAATTGTTACTGACTAGTCGATCCAAAGTTGTCGCATAATATTTATTTTTCTGGAATAGTCTTCGAATGTGTTTTCCTTCCCCAAGGTTGGAAAGCTGAAATGTTGTACTACTTATGAGATCATTTCCGTTTAGCTCTCGTCAACCTCTTGGACTGTAAAGGACACGTGTGTTGAAAGACAAAAGGGAAAAACGTTCGATGATGATCAATTTCTGAAGAAAGCAATAAGCATTCGATTCATTCAGACATAGTAACAGCTATTCAATCCATTGGCATCTAATTGCTTCAGCCAAAACGTGTAGTAAGTTAGTTCAGCTCTCCTTACGTCGTCTGGTAGAGTTTTGCAAAACCCAAAAGGATGGAGTCCTTACTGAACTCAGAACGTGGGATTGAACCAACGGGCATTTGCGTATCGTAGGCACCCTTTACTTCTATGCTACACTGGACCTTATAGATATATTTGCAATCTCGAAAAAACATTGGTTTTCTTATCAAGGTTCAATGAGAATCGGTTTTGCAAAAGTTTGTCCACCGGTTCCCAGTCTTCTAATCTAGTACTCATTCATGGGTGTCATTAGGAAATAAGATCGCATCGTAATCTCTATAGAGCACTTGATGTGTAGCTTCAATCTCTGTTATAAACCGTGTGAATTTTCTCATGTCTTAAAAGTGGAATATAGCACAAGTGTGCCGTTATCTTGCATTATATCATACGTACGTTATCTGACAACACTATAAAAGTTGTAAGCCAGAGAGGTTCATTTTGATGAATAGCCACCCATTCAATGCCAGAAGTCGGCCCTTCCACCGAAGTACGTAATTGTTTGATAGAACGCCACTCTTACATTGAAGCATCTACACATTTTAGGACCTGGATCCATGGCTTACTTCGCAAGTGTATTACCACGGATACATTCCTCGGCAAGACGTCTGTTCCATACTGGCAAAACATGGCGACTTTCTTGTACGATCTACAGAGGTCTGTGAAATACATTATATGCAATAATGTAGTTATTTTTAGCCGTAGTACATAGAGATGACTTGCAAAACTCGCGAGGTCCTTAGTTCCATCTCTTCCGGCTCATCAAGCCTTCCATACCTCTTAGATAGCCAAATTAAAACTACACTTGTGTGGGAGGATGGCAACAATGACTTGATACATCGATAGGAGGGAATCGGAACTCAATGCAAGGAGAAGATATGAATTCAGCTACCTCTGACGATGCTCAGTGAAACATGTTCGATGCATGTTACCTCTAATTATTCAGCCTCGTGGGCTCAGTCTTATTCATCCATTATTATAAACCTGCACTCAGTCCCACGGCAATCGTTTGTCCATCATCAGCGGACGGAATTTCGCAATGGACAAAGCATCTTACTTGCCGCAATTTTTAATTTGAACCAAAAGCAATAGTTCTCTCTCAACAATGAAAGAAAGTTTTGGAGGAGCGGAAGGAGATAGCAAAGTGAATAATGACAAAGCACAGCAGAAAGTATGATAATGATTTGGCTCTTTACTCGACATTGCAAATCAATTATATAAGCCTGATCGGTTATCTTCAAGATTGTAAAAATTACGACTAGACCGACATTCTACGATATTCATGATAAAAGTAATATCCTCATGCAGCGAGCAAATCAACACTCCAGTTGTTCCTAGGCTTTTGTGGAGAATGAATGCGAGAAAACAAATCAAATGCTAGAAGTGCTGGGACGTGAAAAATGATTATGATCACGCGTAGTGTGACATGGAATGAAATTTACTTTTTGTAGCGGCTCAAAAAGTAGTCCAGCAAATTGAAAGCGCCATATCAATTCTTCAATCATTTCAGAATTATTTATTTTTTTATAAATTTTTTATTCATAATCCATCAGTGGCTTTCAGATATTTTTAATAGTAAAATTCACATGATGCAACCTCTGCCATGCCAGGCTTGGCGATGTACAAATAGGGAGATATTTCATTCCCTCTTTTACCAATAGGGGATAACGGCTGAGATTGTAGTAAGTCTTCACCCAATCGATGCAATTTCTGGGTGCTCGCTGGCTGTTGTAGGTATGGTCTTGAGAAAGACTGATGAATAATTTATTATCATGAACGTGTCCTTTTTTAGGTGCTAAATTATTTTAAATTCCTTTTTTGTGAACATCTTTATCTGCCACGAAGAGCCACCGCCCTAACACAGTTTTTATTCGTTTGTCACCCGCACCCATTTCGTAATTCATGGTGATGGTCTCCCTTGAACATAGTGGCGTATCCAAAGCCCACTTCGTAATTCTCAACTCGGTGCCATTTTTGGACGCAGAGCCTTCAGCCATGAAAACGTCCGACAATCTATTGAAAGGTCTTCCACGAGGACGCCTGGAGTCTCTTGTGATTGACTTCACTCCTTTCATCCATGTGTCATTTCTTCTTCTTATTATGTAATCGGCCCATCTGTGCATCGTTTTGATGGGTATTCTCCCAAATCCCAGACATCAAGTAGGTCAATGTCGATGACCTCAGTTGAGTAGGCACACAAGAAGTTGTGAGTGTCGGTTAAATTTCGATAAACATCGCTGAAGCGCTCAACCACGCAAATGATATGCACTTGATGATAAATCACCAGACTGGTCGTAACGGTTCTCGCCATCGTGCTTTTCCTGCATGTACGTTC